TATATATATATACACACTTTAAAAATGTTGCATTCTCAATCAACCTCCTCCTTTGCATCAATATCACATAACTCCTTAGTCTCCAGGATGAGTCTTTAATGATATTGAAACCTTTCAACTTTAACTTTACACTTACTTTGATTAATACATTGTTTATAGCATTTGGTAAAGAAAGAAGTGTTCTCATAATATGTCAATTATACAATTACATAAAATAATATTCACTTCAGTAGCAAAAGCCTTCTGATACAATCTGTCAACTCCATTCATTCACATTACCATAATTCCAATTGGCCACCCACAAACATTACTACATCCTTTTAGTTCTGATCTCCAGCAAGGAGTTATGAATAAATGAATTATACATGTAAAATGATACTTAACTAATCATCTATCAACTACTCGGTAACTGAAGAATAGGTAAAAACCTAGCATTTAGATTTTTTTCTGTTTTATTAACCTTGTAATCTCTCAGGTTTCTTAAGGGAAATTAAGATTTTTAAGCAGAAATTACCTCCCAAGACACAAAACTAATTCAGGTCTCTCTTGAGAGACTCCTGAGCAGAAGCCTGGAGAACAGTACTTTTGTGTGTCTCCTCTTCCAGCAATTCTGTCACACTCTTGAAGCATGAAGACAGGGATGAAAATGCTGTATAAAAATCCCTCGTCATGCATTTCAGGATTACATTTCAAGTAACATGAAACCTGTTACTTGTTTCAAAACACAGCTGTACCTGAGCTGCCTATACTCACATCCTTGCCTGAACAATATAACTCTTCCAAAGGGTTTTTGGGAAAGAGCACAACACTAAATGCAAAAACTTCCACAAAAGATCCAATTTGAGACCAGGTATTTTAAGATGAAGATTTCATAATGTTGTATTTCATCTGACAGAGGTCTAAGTAGATAGACATTAACTATTGTGCCTCTATGCTCAATAGCACTTCCAAGAGAATGGATCAAATGAAAAGACACTGCATGTACAAAGAAAAGATGTGTATGACTAAAAATGGCAAAACTGGTTGAAGAAAAATACGGACCAGAATGGATGAGTTACAATAGATTTAAAAAAAAAAAAAGGAGGTGGGAGGGACTGAAGAGAGATAATTCACCCAACTATCTGGGGAATATAAGAGTTTTTATCATAAGAGCTGGTGTTCCGAAGGATTTAGATATTAGAAGTTACAAGGTTTAGATTTAGTGCATATTAGTTCCCCCACCTCTGCAATCTTAAGTACTCAAAATAAGGCACCTTAAGATGGTTTGTCTAAAGACATTGCACATCGCCAGCTTTTGCTTCATTGAAAATACTCACAGTTTCAATGTACACTTGCAGCAGTTTATGACTATGCTTCAGTTCTCATGCACACTAAGTCATATTTTAAGGTCTGATTGGAGCAAGACACTCAGAGGGCTCTGAATCCTGAATGTGGTGGAAGGAGCTCAGCATGCACTGGAGAAGATGGGAAATGGCAAACTATGGAAGAACCACAGACACTGCCTCTCCACTGGAACAGCTGGGTACCAAGGCCACAGCATGTTGGACTAATCCTCAGAAAGAAAGCCTGCACATTGCCCATTAAAAAGTGCATGAACAGAAGAGAACAGAGGCCATTTCTAAGGAATAAAACTCTCAAAAGACAAGGACACAGTTAAGAGAAACAAGACTGTGGCAGCTGGAGATTTTTCTGACCAGCTCCAAGTAGATTCTCAGCAAAGCCAGAGAAGAGCAGTAGTTCTGGTCATGCTTTGATTCCCCTTATTCAGAGCAGTCTCCTGGTTTTAAAGTACCTGGAAGCTAATTGCAAGACTATAGCCATAGGGGGATATAAAATTAGAAGCAGTTATACAAGTAAGCAAAGGGCAAGAAATTTCATGAATTTAAAACCAGAAGAAATGAGTAATAAACAGTCAATTAATATCATTATAAGAGTAAAACTAGCATGGTACCATCTGAGTAAGGCTCCAATCAGGATATAATAAAAACACATTTACCAATTATCTAAAGACACTTAATAGCATGGTGATAGCCTGTGAAGATTATAAAAATTATCTTTAAAAGCATGACAGTAAAATTTAATAATTGGACAGCATGTTAGATTCATTTCAGAACAATGTATGCCAGAAGGAATGAACTGAAAAATCCTAAATCAACTAAAGAAATCAGGAAATAGCAGAGTTCCAAGATAACACATATTGAATATGCACTAATCATGAAAAGCAGAGTTGGTATGAAGAACCAGGCAAGCAAAAGCAAGTATTTGGTACTGTGTCAAAATGACAAAACAGTTTTTAAAAAAAGGAATGAAATTCAGCAATTCTACCTGTAAGATTAAACCCTGAACTGAAAAGATATAAGCATCAGTCTCCAGGACTTGAAATGTGAGACAAGGACTAGCTCCTTAGTCATAGCAAGGATGGATGATACTTAGTAATTGTGTTAGTAAAGATAACAGCCTAACTCCTCAAATAGTTATTCCTTATTTAAGACAAAACCACTCCACAAGGTAAACTGTTGATCTGATCCAGTATAGCCACAGTGTTCTACAGTAACCAGGTTCCACCTATCAGAGTGTCACCTAACTCATTCCTTCATTGTGGAACTCAGTAAAAGAAAACTAAGGGATATCTTAAAGTGAAAATATAGTGTAACAGCATATTTTAATGTAACAACTCATATTTTAAAATCAAAATCTTAGTCCAGAGGTAGGCAACCTGACTGAAATGCTCTTACGCGAACAATAAAATCACTGTAGAGTTTACAATGAAATTAGAACGTCATAAATGACCACACCTTGAAAGCCATAGTTACACAGA